CTGAAAGCTACATGTATAAAAGAGAAGTGTTATTTATTGCTTATCATGTTCATCATTTCAAGTCAAAACTGACCTTAAAAAATACAGCTAATAACTCAATAAAAAAAAATACTGCTAGCAAATCAATTTTAAGTAATCCTTCAAAATAACTAAGCTATTTTTTTCTTCCAATTTTAAGTAGGTATAATACTGCAAAAAGAGCAGACTGAGAAAACCCATTCATCTGTGCGCACAGCTCTCTTCAAACACTTCCAAACATCGTGAAAAAGAGCACCCGAGGTAACATTGCTAAGCATACCATGCCGATCGGATCCCAAAAACTCTGAGTTCAAGAAAAAATCCGGATCCTTTTCTCTTTCCTTTGGAGGTTCCAGTTCGCGCTTAGGCCATCACTGCCGGTTGTTCTCTCAGCTATTGATTTCCTACATTTCTGAAAGTTGCTTATACAAAGCCTGTATTGATATGCTGAAAATTAATTGATTCACTGATTAAAGTCTGATTTTTTATACTGCAAAGCTGATTTTATCCTCTACCCCAAATCGGACGCGTACGCCAAACACCTGAAAAACATTAAAAAATAATAATAATTATAATAAACAGACAGGACGGCCCAGTTCAGTTTCAACATATTTCCCAGGGTTTTAATGCTTTCCTGTATACAGGGTATAAGCACCAGAAAAGAGGTTAATTAAAAGTCGCCTTGCTTACACGTGTCGTAAAATGTTGTTTGCTTTTTTCACGATTACTTCGTAACACTCCTCATTATTGACGACGTGTGTAACTCGTTGCAAGAGGTATAGCTATGCTGAGTATGGCATCAATAACTGTTTGTAATATTATTAACATACTGGGTAGGAGGCGACAATTTGTTTGCATGTTTTCGATCCTTATTTTAAAGGATCATTCACATCTGTTTTTTCATGACAACGGGATCTTTTTTTTATTATTATTATTACGTACAGCATCGTAAAATAAATTTTCTAGCAAAACTCCATGACATTTTCGACAGGATTAATATGCAAGACCCTGCTATGGTAGGAGCAAGGGTGGTGCAGTTATGAGAGCACTCGCCTTCCACCAACGTGGCTCGGGCTGAAATCCCGGCGTCGGCGCCATGTATGGCATGAATTTGTTAATGGTTCTCTACCTTGCTTAAAGAGTTTTTCCTCCGGGGACTGTGGTATTCCCCTCTCCTCAAAAATCAACACTTTTCAAAATCAAATTTGATCTGGAACGAGTGGACACATTTTAACGAGTTCTTGAGAACTCCTAAGTACTTGGTGGGTAAGCAAATTACATTTCGAATTATAATTACACATGTGGCAGCCGAGGTCCTTTATCATAACATTCGTTCGAAGATATCACTTACGTCGAACCACATAGGAAGCTTTGAACCCACGCATGGTTCCATTGCCATTGGAACTGAAAACAATTCTTACTTCCTGGCCTCCTCTTATACGCAAAACTTGCAGCCTCCTTCTGAGCCTGCGCACTCTCCTCCGGCTCCCTCGCATTCTCCTCCACTTCCTTCCACTCCAGGGATTTGCGTCCGCTAGATACTCGCCATTTTCTAGTTGATCATTTTCTTCATCTTCAACGTCGTTCTCATTATATACGTCGTTATTGTCATCATTGTCATTAGCATCAGTGTCATCTTCGTTATAAACTTCAGACTGCTCATAATCGATTTTCCTGTCAATATCCTCGTCATCGTAGTCACTGTTATCATCACCATTATCGTCATACCTGTCGATACCACTTATGAGGTCGTTAAGATCTTCATCGTTGGAAAACTGTTCGCCCTCGTCGCCGAAGCGGGAACACTTCATCCTTAACATCCTTCCTGTCAAACGCCACTCAAGACGGCCACCCACAAAGATTTCTACAAAATCTCCGCTGGAAACACAAATACAAGGTGTAAAAACTCCATATATTGAGTAACAAATAAGGATGCAAAATTCGGGACATCGATAATAGAAAATCCCTTTCTCTTTGGTTTGCTAGCGTTGATGGGTTAAAACAGAATTGAAGCTTGTTTGAAACGGTTGATTTCGTCTTGGACATTTCGACATAGGACCAATAAAGCCAGAGAACTGAATCCAGCGGTCTTCTTTCATTTAAATCAACATTTTTTTTCCTTTCGTAGTTCGTCTCAGTTTATTCAATAATGGGCCCGACGGACGGGGCTACTATCCGTCTCAGATATAAATATGGAGGCGGAAGGTATTTAATTATTTAGTTAGTTAGTTAATTAGTTAGTTTGTTCTTAGTTAGTTATGTTATATGGCTTGACTTACCACCCAAGCTGGAAGAATACAATAGAGAGCACTGTTCTGTTTGGTGGAATAATCGTCCAAACGCAGGTTACATTATTAGGGTAGTTATTAGCAAAATTAGGAGACTTAAAAGTTCCAGATTTACCCATCAGTTCACCACCACATGCTGGAAAAGGAAAATAATACACCTTATTACTTCTTACCTTACACAACAGACAGGAAAACTAGGGGGGGAGTAAAGTGGCTTTGTCTTTTTTTTTTGAGCAAGAAACTGTCTCGATTTGCGACTTTGATGGCTCAAGGTATCACAGAACCCTTCAAAGTCAAAGGAGACTTTTCACTCCTTCCAAGTTCCGTTGACTCTGCCTTACCTCTGTCGTGGTTTCGATTACCTCAGCACTGATATAGAACCATTAAATTTGCTCAAATATTGTAGAAAACATTGAAAATCTGGCGGAGTGAAAATGGTAGCGTGATCTTCAAAGATGCTTTAAGAGATTATGAGTGTGTTTTTTAGAATTACTGGGCAATAAGAAATCTTGCTATAGTTTTTAATTACCACTTCATTGATTATAATTTGATGTAATTTGATAATTTGTTGCGATCTTACAAAAAATTGAATTCCTTTTCTACTTTTAAGACTGATGTTAGTGGATTAGAATATTAAAAAACACCGCCAGGAAGTAGCAAAGTTACGATTAAGGAACCAAAAGTTAAGAATTGAGACTGATAGATATCATCTTCCCAAAATTTCTGAGAATCTTAGAATTTGCCAGTTTTTGCTCGTCGAATAAAGTAGAAAATGAAATTTATTTTCTATTGGAATGCAATTTATATAGCAATTTAAGAAAACACTTTTTTCAAGACGTAGAAGCCAAGTACTTCAAATTCGTAGATTTCAACGAATCAGAAAAAGTTATATTTCTTTTTAATAATATTGATACATAAGTTTGTAAAAACGAAGCTACTATGTCTATGAAGCATTTGAACCTAGAGAAACTTATTTCATGAAACACAAGCATAGGAAATAGAGATAACTAGTTATTACATTTAATTGATACTCTCTATTTATTTAGTTAATTTAAACATTATTAAAATTATAATGGTAATTAACAGTTTAAAAGCAATACCATTTCTGTATATGGGAATGCTAATAATATGTTATGTTATGTTATTTTATGATATATATATTTTATTTCTCACCAAGTGGAGTTGTTGGTTGTACAGTTGTTGACGGAACCATTGTTGTTGGCGCCTGGGTAGTTGGAAGAGACCCAGCATTGCATAACCTTGTATTGCAACAAACCGTTGAACAAGACTCAATTGCTCCCCCTCTACTGTTATTAAACGACGAGCAAACAAGATCACACAGGGACGGCAGAATACATCCTCTGGTGAAAAATGTTTGGTTTGTATTTGAGTCAGATGCTTGTTGAGTAAAGCAAACCAAGTCTTCCTGGCCTGGTGAAGGTGCTGGACATTGTTCTACAGTTTGCATCGCTATGCAACTTTGTTCGCTAAATGCCGCGCAACTTGAGCAGTTCAGTGGTCCTGGCGGAGGATCTGTTAGCAACAAACAAACAAAAAACAATTTGAATTTACACTGGAGGGGAGTATAAAGAGAAATTCACTTGGATGCTATGCTTTCACCGACGATTTTCGTTAAAAATAGCCCAAGAATATGAAGACAAAACTACGAAACTGGGCAGGATGAGACGGTTAACTTTTATCTATAACTAGTGTCCACTCCCTCTTAGAATTGGGAAAAAATTAGTTAGAAATTAATAGTTTGACGTCACGCTGGAGAGAAGCATACTGGTACGGTTCAGACGGTTATTATGAGAGCTTAATTGAAGGACTTTTGGTGGAAAATTGTGTCATTTCACGTCGACTGTGGTCGTAATCATGCTTTTTGGGCAGCTAAATGAATTTTCCATTGGTGAATGATCTTACTTTCTCATACAAGCTTTCGTAATTACTATTTACGTGTTTCAATCAACACAATGGCTGTGTAGCTGATTCAATAAAAGCAAGTATTTTCTTATATTACAGGGCAAACCTTTCTCATAACTGAAAGACTAAAGATCTATGCTAGGCAGACCAGCCATGACTAAACTTTGATAGATCTTAAAAAGTCCGCCCAGTATTGGCTGATCATGGACATGACTTGGCTCAATCGGCAATCTTTTCCAAGTATAGCAGTAGATGAAGATGTAGACCTGCCCAGCAGTCGACTGACCAGATCTAGTGCTCTTCTTTAAAAATGTTAGCCCCACCCCCCGGCCACCAGCGGTAAGATTTTAACTCTCATTATATTCTTCTTACTCTGCTCTTGATGTTCCAGGGGGGAGTCATTACCCCAGTTAAGAAAGGGAACACGTGCTGACTGGGAGTTTGCCATACAACTCAAAACCTATCATAAAATAAACAATAAACGGAAATAAATTGAGAGCATTACAGAAATGTTTGGAGGGGTGGGGATGAGAAAGGATTTAGTTGGGGACACGGTCGCGTTGAATTACCTCAAATAACTGAAGTACTACTCCTCCTTAGGATAAGAGAGTCTCTCATGTTGTTGTCATTCATATTAATTTCATTCGCCCGTTGACTATTTTCTTGCCGCACAAGCTAGTTTAGTTTGATAACTAGATACATGCCAATTAGAGTCGTTATGGACAAAAAAGTAGGTTCTTTTTTTCTAGTTCAATTTCTCTTTAGTTTTGGAACTGGCAAGTTAGAATTTTGAACGCAATCAAAAGAGAAGTCGTTACAAAGTGCCAAAAAGTACTTTTTCAAGAGTTGTTTCAGATTTTGTTTTATTATAATATCACCAGTTTTGACCAGTTTTCGATACCCGCGCAGGGTTTGTAAAAAGTACAGTAGGGACTTTAATCGTGATCAGTGACATTATATTACATTGAAAACGCAAGGATTATTCTGAGATGAAAGTTGTTAAGTAAGTCGATCATAATAATAACATCTAACTGTGCCACGTGTTTACCACAAGCGTTATATGGAACAAGAGTAAAACGATATTTTTTGATGTGTCACTGACCATACTTAATTGGGTGGAATGGTTATGAAACCCGTCAGACTCCTTTGTTATATGTTTTTGTGGACCTGAAAGTGCACAACGTTCAAAAGAATTCCCATCATTTTGATTGTATTGACCAATAAAAACGTTGCATTAATTTATAGGCATTGTTAAACGGTTGTCTTTTGTTTCCTAACACGTGAAAGTCCCTGCTTCCAACATAAACTGCAGCACTGTTGTTTTTGTCATTGATGTTTGCCGCTTTTCATAACCAGTCTCCTCTAATAACTATGCACTGACCAATCTAACATCTTATGATAATTCGCTTCAATCGAGTTCCCTCGTTTAATTCCAACTACATTAGGATGCGAGTCTGCATTAAACTAATGCAACTAATTCAATTTTAATCAACATGGGATTAACGCAGGAAAATTCAGAGAAATGCCTGAGCTCGGCCCACTTGTCAATGACACGATTTGACCTAAAGACTTTGCTGTAACCAATCTTAGTGGAATGCGAAATTAAATTTCTGCAGGAGTTTATATTACGAAGAAGACCTTTCATTTGCACTGTTCTCCCTAAATCAATTACACTGTAGCTACTAGGACAAAAATTAGTCACTAACGTTTGATATTTTCGTCAGAAAAAATGTGCTCTGCTGTATTCAAGCAGGCAGACATGTCTAGAATATTTCTGAAAAATATACCCTCTCTAGTATTAAGAATTCACTAGTGAAGTAATTACCGTCAACGAAAACAAAAACGGCGTCCCCATAGTTGATTGGTTTTTCCCTGACGGACCACCTGTTGAACTGAACGAGGCCTCTATCTCTTTGACAAGTTACTCAGAATATTCCCAATTTATACCCAGTGCTGACTAATAGCAGGCGTCTCTTCGGCTCACGAGTTCCTAAGCGCTTTAGTTTCCCGCTCACTGTGGTTTGATTTGATATTACGGCATTCCAGAAACGTTGATCACAGTTGTTTTTTGTTTCTCAGCAACTCAGTTTAAGCGCTTTCAAAGTCTGAAGTTGTTTATTTACTCAAAGCTGCTTAAATTCCAAATCTATTGTAGGATATGAGCGCATCATCTGCTGTACCGATGATGAGTATCTTAAAGAGAAGGTGACAAAAAAGGAAAATTAATCCTCCCTATAATGCACTAACGAAATGCAATATAACGCATTCAATTTTTTCATTGTATGATTTGAAGTCATATTACATTTGTTAAAAAACCAAAACTAATATTTCAAATTTCAACGCTGTTGCAATATTCTGGACGTTGACGACTGTCATTTAACTATTATTGGCTAAAAAAACTATTAATGGCTAGAAACTTCCTCTCATTTTCTCGTGAAATTTTTCCAATTTTGCTCAGTTTCCATATTTACAACTGTTCTCAAGCAACGAAACATAAAAATTTCTCATTGACAGGTAGTCAGGTCGTGCAGTGAGTAATATAAGTGAATGTGTTTCAGTAGAGTATGAGTCAGAACGCTACCAATATATCAAAGATAGTATACTTAAACATTGGGACAGGTAGGTGCATGAAAGTGAAAAATGCCGGTACATGTATATCAGAGACCGTTCTATTAGGTAATAGAATAATCCGATGCCGCCCGCAACAGTTGTCATTCAACCGATTACTTCCGCAGACCTTTAATAATGCCCATTTGTGGTTTTAACCTTCTCGTTGGCTCTATTTCGCAACACTATTACCATACAGTGTTTCTAGATAAATTGGAATTGTTTGCGAAAAATTAAATGCATCCACTCGCTGTCTGACTGAGGCATGCAAGTCTTTTTTCAGAACACTTCTTTTTGGCCCAAAGATTATGTGTCACAGGGCCGTAGCCAGAAAAAAATAAGGACTGAGGCAATACCCATGGTTGAATTTTTCCACCTAGCTATTTAGCGTTTTTATAATGACTAAGGTTAAACAAAACACTGGGATCAAACGTTAAATGACTGAGGGAGTTGCCTCGGTTTGCCTCATACTGGCTTTGGCCCTGTGTCAAGGCAACATTTCTCTGTTTTATTAGTTTTATTATGTGTACAAATGCTGGGATAAATATTTGCTTTCAGCTGATTATCGCCGCCAAGTCAATACTCAAGAACGTTTAATCTTGTTTGCTATTGTTTACTTGCATTTGTGAAAAATCAATAATAATAATAATCAGCAGACAGTTTATGAAGTTCAATCGGAAACTGGGAGGGCCTGCTTATACCACCTGCAGAGGATGAGGCGAAGCAGAACGCAGAACCAAGGCCAAGTCCCACAGCGGGTGAAAGAGGCGGGTGGACCAAGAAAAAACCACAGATGGCTAAAAGCAGCTGGCCTCAAGGCAGAAACCGAGAGTTTTATCATCGCAGCCCAAGATCAAAGCCTACCAACACGCTGGTACCAACACAACATCCTCAAGAAGCCTGACGTGGACCCAACATGTAGACTATGTGGCCGTTTCGATGAGACCATTGACCATCTGGTCTCTAGCTATCCAACGCCTCAACAAGGCAGCTGCATAGATGTACTGGAAGATCTGCAAATAGTTTGGCTTTGAGGTGAAGGAACGATGGAACGAGCATGAACCCAAGACTGTCACCGAGAAGGATAGCGTCACCATTGTATGGGACATGCCCATCCACACTAACAGGACCATCACAGCTAATAGGCCGGACATTGTACTAATGACCTTATTGCACTTAAAGAAGTCAATAATATCCTTGCTGACGATTTCAGCATTGCCGAAAGCATGCATTCTTACTTCTCCTCAGTGTTTACATCTGAGTCCTTCACAAGTTTTCCAGTATTCAACAAAGTTGTTGACTCTGAGTTGTCGACCATTGTTTGCAACGAAATTGAAATTTCACATATTCTGAACGTTTACAAGTCCGCAGGGCCCACTTACCACCGCGTGTTTTAAAAGAATGCACTGCTGAAATAGCTCCGTCATTTAGCATATTGCTGAATAAATCACTCACTACTGGATCACTTCAGTATGCTTGGAGACAAGCTGACATTGTTCCGACCCACAAAAAAGGATCAAAAACTGATAAAGAAAATTATGGACAAATATCGCTTACATCCATAGCATGCAAAGTTAGCGAAAAGATCGTGAAACAGCGTGTGATTAATTTTTGGCAAGATCTAGGAGTGTTAAATGAAATCCAGTTCGGGTTCCTGGAAGGGAAATCAGCTGTAACACAGCTACACCTACTGACATCGTATTTCTCGATTTCATTAAAGCGTTTGATTCAGTCCCTCAGGAGCGCCTGCTGGTTATGGAATAGAGGGCAACCTGTTGCACTGGTTTAGAAACTTCTTGTCAAATCGGCAACAACGCGTAGTTGTGCGTGGTACTACCTTCTCATGGTCTTCTGTCAGATCTGGAGTTCCCCAGGGAACAATTCTTGCTTCCACAGGTAGCCAATGCAGGCTCTCTAATAAAGGTGTAATGTGGTCAGAGCAGCGGGCTCCTGTTATCATTCGAGCTGCGGTATTCTGAATTCTTTGTAATTAATTCTGGTATTTTGGGATGTAATATAAGAGACTATTGCAATAGTCGAGCCTGGAAATCACAAGGGAATTCACCAACATTTTCAATCCATCGGAAGGAAGGTACTTTCGAATACGACCAATTGATCTTATGACATAACTGGCTTTCTTATATAATAATAATAATAATAATCGTTTATTCAACCTTTTTGCAGCATAAACTGAATTAGAAGGCGGGTCATTAATTACATACAAATACCTCGGAATTATGACAGGTAAATATAACTGTTAATACTAGGGTATCTAAAAGATAGTAATGCTGCGGCACATTCTGTTGATACTGGCATTAGTTAGGCAGTGAGACTTAAAAGAATCAAAAATGACATTGAATGTCCTATTTACATGTTGGAAAGTGCTAGAATAATTACCATCAGTCTATAGAAAGAACTCGTGGGAACGTTGTTTAGAAAATGATCAAGTGGTTATCAACTCTGGTTTTCCCACAGTAAATTGTAGGAAATAATAGAAATTCAGATCGTTTATCCATATATCTAATATACGGTGCACGATATTTTCTCTGGAAACACGATACTTTTCTTGCTGTTTGTTGCATTTTATTAAGTAACAGTTATTTAGCTATATATTTATAGAAAACAACAACACAAAAAACGGAAAAAAAAAAGAAAGAAGGAATAAACAACTCGATAGGACTCGAACCCGGCACCTTCGACTCAACGCGACTACACCTAACCACTACACCACAGAGACTGATTACGTACTTTTTGGGAAAAGTCTTTCATTTTACTCCTTTTCCATGAAACTTCCGCCGGCAAGATGATTGCCAGCCGCATTATCGAGCTAATAACAGTGAA